CACTGCTGAGACGAAGCAGCGAGCTGAACTGATAGCTGCCCTATGGTTACCAATGCCAAAACAGAGATACTTTTATTAATGCCTAAAGAAATCTTCAAAATGCCATATGAAGTGTTGTTACTTCGTGTCAATGTGCTTTTTTAACAGAAGGAAAACATCGCCCTCAAGTTTTTAATCCCCAAAAGATATTTTTTTTCAGTTTTTACAGCAATTTCAACTTCTCTTGAAATACGCATTTGAATTCCTGAAACCAGTTTGAATGTAGAAGTCATGGAAACACCACTTCATTAAACCAAGTACAACCACTGTATGTATGTAGCAGGGATAAATGTTTTGCAGCTCTACTTTCATTTGTCCAACGATTATCCATCATTTGTTGTAATTTTTTTTACTTCACCAAGTTTGTATTTTTTGGCTTTTATGTTCAAAATATGTTTATAGCTTTATAAATAAAGTAATGGCCAGTCTGGCTGCTCAAAATAGGCCACTGGAAATTATAATCCTATCAAAGTGTCAATTAATTATTCCTTAGAACTGAAGTTTTTTCATACTTTTATGTTCAAGCATTTCAGCATAATTTCCAGCAGCCTTCGATAGTAAGGCTGCAGCCGTGAGCCAGAAAGAGCACTTCTGCCACATGAGCCCATCACTGCTGCTGATTCCTCCTTCCCCACTGTGCCCCCATTTCATCACTTCAGCCGAGAGCAGCTCTCCCTGATCAGGCCACGACCTGGGAAAGAAGCGATTATGCAGCACCAGGCCAGTTCATGATTAACATCAAGTTGAGCAATGGAAACAGCACAGTGCCTGCATCCCAGGTGCTGGTGTTACACAGCTGCCTGCTGACACGGGAGACACAGCAGGCTCAGCTGAAGAGGAAAAGCCATGCAGCAGCTGCTCTGTACCCACAGCAGCCTTGTGCAGAAGGTCCCTCTCGACAGCTTGTGCCAGCAGATGCACACAGGTGTTTTCTTGCACTGCCATACACATCAGGTACTGGGACAAAGCCTGAGCCAACACTACAGGGAATTGCAACCAGAGGAGGCAAGTTGTATGGATTCCTAATGAACAAGGCCACTAACATCAAAATCTGCCACGCCATCATGCTCTGAGCACACAGCCAGCCCTTTTGCACAGAGCCATCCTGCCACAGCAGCATCAGCTTTGGGCAAACTACTCATGCCAGCAGCCAACTGGCACGATTCCGGAGCAGAAGCCAGAGGCATTTAGTTCACCACTGAAGCATTTGACCACAAAGGGTTATTTCTTAGGCAAGCTGTTTTAAGAATTAGCAATTCTTGCCACAGGTGCTTTATGCAAATGGTAGAAGCAAGGCTACAAGGAAGACAAGCTAAACTGCCTCTGTCTGTTCCTCACCTACAGCACAGGGAGGCACCACGTGAGGCAGCAGCTGCTGCTGACCGGCACCTCAAGGAAGCAGCTGGAGGCTTCTGCCATTGAGCACAACTACAGCTTCTGTATTGGAATGGTCACTTCGAGATGAAACCAGTGTTAACCTGAAGAGATGGATTTATTTCTTGTAGGAATGCAGGGTGAGCTGAACACTGAACTACAAGAACTGTTATCAGCAGCTTTTCACTAGGGGCACTTTAACAGAGTTGTACTGTTTACAATACAGGATGCTTGGCAGGCTTGGAACGTCCCAATCTGTAACACTGGAGCATTTTGTGCCCGCTGACAATGCTATCAGCAGCACAAGGGCAGCCCAGCAGCCTTATGAATAAGCATCTGTGACCAGCAGCTGCCTCCAAAGCACAGATCTGAGTGCTGCTTTAGAACGAGTTATGAACGCTCTCATTAATGGTTACATCAAAGCAACATTACCTCAAAGCTGGTAAGCCATCAAAAAAATCCATCTGGATTTAGCTTCAGACTTCACCTGAGGAGCTGCTGTGACTGGCCAGCAGCTTGCACTCTGATCGTTTACAACAGACACAGATTTCACTCCAGTTAAGCATCCCTCGGTGCTATGGCTCACACACTCAGCAAGGAGGGCAGGCTGTGCAGTTACAGGCCAGTAGAACCGTTTGTAAGTAGAAGTTTAAAAGCCCTTTATTAACTCAGAAGTGAAACACATAGTTAAAGTGAGATAAGTATGTTTATTAAGGTTCATTCTACTCTAAGATTTATACAGAGAATGGAATGCAATACAAGCTAAGAGCACACCTCAGATCTACCACAAAACCACCCCCTACTCCCTATAAGGGAACTGTAAAAAAAAAATTAAAATAAAAATCAGGAAACCAGTTACTGTTTAACTAGTTGCAAGTGGCTTTGTCCAAAGAAGTCAAGCTCAATATTGCATTAGCTTTGTATGCAATAAGAAGTCTCTACAAGCAGAAGTTTCACATACATAGGCAAAAAGATCTCCCGTGGATACATGAAATCCATGTTTTAAAGAGCTACATCACAAGGGTAGTTTAAAATTGCCTAAAAAACAGCCACTAATGGCATGCACAGGTCAATAATAGTAACTTTGGTAATGTCAGTCGTTTTTGGTCAAACCTGGGTTCCACTTTTGCCAAAAAAAAGTATAAAAACACACCTGTCCTGTGCAGAAAGCAGCACGTCCCACCTGCTGGCAGCCAGAGGCACGGCTTCAGGACATGGTAGAAGTCTGCCAAGTTTGCTGTCAGAAGCTTGCTAAGCCCAGGCTCACATCTTTCTCTACTCACTGGCCTATCAGGCAAGGCCAACAGGACAAGGAAGTGGACAGATCTTTTTTTTTTTAATGCAGAACAAGAACCTTCCCTAGAGTTGTACAGCTGTAATAACACCAATTTTTCCAAATGTCTCTGTAAGAAATCCAACAATTTTTTTTTTTTTAAACTTCATGTAGCTCCCCAAGACACATTTAATTTTCCTTTCTGAAGCCATCAATACCCTGTAAATAAGTGTTTTGCTCTTCCTGAGGAAGAAAGCAAAGGTGGTTTTATTTACAATGGTGGAGTCAACACTTAAGATTGTAACTGGACTGGGAACAGATAAAAAAGTATAACGAAAATGACAACCTTAAGTGCTACTTTCCATTCAGGATCCACACTTGGTTCAGCTTTATTCGTTGCAGAGTAAAGTAAAAAGACACCCCATTACACTAGTAAAAACGCAGATTTAAATTTATACTCAAAAAAAAAACAACACTACACATGCAAAGGGAACAATATCTTGCTAACACAACTTCATTTGCTGCTGCATTTGTCTAATATTAACAATTATGAACAGAGCAGTGCAACTAGTATTCGGAACAATCCTTACAGTGTTCGAGTGTCAGGCACAGCTTCACTTCTCTTCACACCACTGGTTCTCCTTACGTACCTGGAAGAACAACGTAACTGGTAACAATGCAGTAAGCTTCCACAGCTCAGGGGGAAGCAAACTCCTACAGGCATTCGAGTTTACTTACTGTAGAAAGGCACAGCATCATGAAATTATGAAGCATCACATGTTAATGCAGCAGAAAAGCAGCTACATTATAATTAAACCCAGATCGAGTACCTGTGCTTCTTCCTCTTCAGTGAAGTCATTCTTAATATTGAATGTCTTGCGAATTTCTTCTGGAGTTTTCCCCTTGATCATGTTGGCAACTGTCTTGCATGTGACATCAAGCAAACCTTTGATGTCCAAGTAATTTGCAGCCTGTAAAACAGTTTCCAAATTTAAAGCTTCCAGATCAATGTTCTGCCTCTGCACATGGACCACTACAGTTCTGCTCCCAGCACTGCAGAATGCTGTCACCACTAAGAGCCAAATCGCTCTGAGAAGCTTCCAGCTAGAACCCTGAATTAACAACTGAAGTTCACCTGCCAAACTGGAGTCATTTCTATGTGTGAAATGCATGAAAAGCCCCATCTCCTTTATACAAGGCTTTCAGAACCTCGCACACACCTCTGAGATGTTGAATACTTGAGTGCTGTTAGCTCGCTAAGACAGGAGCCACGAGGTAGATTTCATGTAAGACAGTAATTAGCTTTTTAAAAAACGTGTATTTATGCAGGTCTCTAAAACACCACTTAAAGCAATAAGCCATCAGCCAAGACTCGAAAGTGAAAAGGGGCCACAACTACAGACAAGTACAGGAACTGACAGATGAGCAAGCATTAATTAGTGCCTAGCATGATATTAACAAGCATCTGCCATTCACCAGTTTCAGCCAACTAGCTGCCCTCCCCACGTTCCCTACATTAAGAAGTTCTTCAAGAAGCATCAAGACTTGCTGGAAAAACAAACAGAGGTCAGTGTGCAGGCACAGCCTTTATGCTTCCACAACATAAACTTACCAGGATGAGCTCAAAAAGTGTTCCTTGGTCTACTTTCAGAAATTCTTGATCCCACACAGGGATGTCATCCGTTCTTTTCTCCTTGTTCTCATCATCCTCGGGAGGAGGTGGATCATCTTTGTGATGGGTGCACCACTGAATCACCTAATTACAGTTTTGATAATACACTTTTACCCAAGTGACTTTCCCATTAGGCCCCAACTCTAACATTACTTTGTTTTAGGAGCACTGTGCTTTTCCTTCTGGACTGATATTAGAATCACCTGTTCATGTTTCATCATCTTATATTTTCCTCTTAGAAGAACTAATCCCCAATCCTGGAACCCAACAGTCTTCACGAAGCTCAACTGAGACAGCAGCCAGTCAATTAAATACTCTGGATTCTGAAGAGCAGCTCCTAGCAGTCAAAGCAAACAATAAATCCTGTGCTAACACACACAGGACCATACAGAAGTAACACAGGCCTCATTTTGAGGAGCTGGAACACTCGCTGGCTGTGACTCTCATTGCTGCCTGCCCTTTAACCTTTCTCCTTCCATTCTGAACTTATTAAGAGCCACCTCAGCTCACACAACCCAGTTACAATCAGTGCTTTAAAACCACGAGATGCTAGTGAGCACAGATGTCCAGCACCAGCCCTATGCCTTAGGAGCCCTGCCCAGCCTCCACCTGCCATTCCAGAAGGTCATTCGTGTAGCTCTTTAACCAAGAGCTGTGAGCCTCAGCCCAGTTCTGAGACAAACTGTGCTCACACACCGCATGATGGTGCTACTCTTGTAGCCAACACTTGGGAAATATTTTCAATAGTAATATTTACCTCCAGCATTAATTTCCCATCACTGATACACAACACCATCACTTCCCAGTGCCTTACCTTTTTTAAAATAGCTGCGTTGACGTTTGGAAGAGGGACTGGGTCATCATCGCCTTCATCATCCATTCCCAAGTCTACAAATGGAAAGATGACCTGCAGCCAGCAGCCTAAAGCTTTGTTCTCCAGCCTGGGCTGCTTCATCAGCTCTCCACTATTCTAACAATACTGAGCTGAACAGACAAACAGCAAACGATGTCAAAGCGAAGGCAGAAACTTGAGGGTGGTTTTGCAGAGCACGGCTGCGTTACACGAGCTGGGCTCCACTAACTGGAGCTGAGCAGCTTAACAGTGCTGCCTCCAGAGATGCTGACATGTTTGAGCACAAACAACCTGCTAAGGCAGTTACTTGTCCCAGAAGGAGGTGACAGTTCCATGTTCTGGGAACAGAATGCTTAAGAAGATTTATGAATGCTCACCACTTCCAATCTGCAAGTTAAACCTCATTGTTTCAACCAAGGTCTCCCATTCTTTTATCAAATAAGAACTCAGACCTAACGTGGCAAGTACAGATGTTCTGTCTTGCACAGGAGCAGTAAATACTGAAGCTGTTGCATTTAGACAGGTCAACTGCTGTCATTGGTGGGATATCAATTAGTGCTACCTTTTGTCCAGAACATCTGATTTTGTAGATTCTGAAACCAAAATACTGACATTGAAGTCAGTAAAAAAGTCTTTTTGCATATGTTACCAATTACTGGAAACCCCAAATGCGTCCTTTGAAGATACAAACAGATATTGGTGTAATACCAATATCACCAGACAGTCTATACTAAGTTGCTGGCACAGGGAAGTAACTCAAGAAGTACCTCATCGTCAGCCAGCTCTGCTCAGCTCATCCCCACTCCTCCTAAACTGGAGTTTCACCTCTCATCAGAAAATCAGTGCTGCATTGGTGAGACCTGATGGAACTTCACTTTTTACCTCCTCCCCTTCACTGACATCAAACAAAGCAGCAGGTATTAACTGATGGTGCTTAAACATCTGTACAGCAGAATGGCTTTTCTCTATGCTGCTTAGCAGACTGGATCTTGGTCAGCTCACTAAGAGGCCAGCTGGTGGTGCCCAGCTTACAATACCTTCAGCACAGGCATTCTCATCAATACCTGTTTGTCACCAAACGCTGCCAGTGACACAGCCTGCGTGTGAGAAAATGGAGAGGAATTACATTCCCACTGATTGCCAGTTTCCTGCTCACTCTGCTCATCGTGTTTGAAAGCATCTCATTACCAGAACTGGAGTGGTCCAATGGTTGGTGTGTTTCAACCTTATTTCTGTTACTGTTCTTACGTCTGAGGAGTCACAACCAAAGATACACAGCCAAGGACTTCATTTTAACTAGATCTACAAGATACTTTCTAATATGCCCAAAAACTGGAAAGAAAACAGTAAACAATGAGGATTTGCACCAGACAGATTAGACACAGTTTGCTCTGTATCTCAGCCATCTGGCAACTCCCCTCCCCCACCACGAGCTCTTTTGTTTCAAATTCATGTCAGCAAGAGATCAGAACCAACTATTTATCAAATAATTTCACTGCATAAATGCAGATCTCCCTCCAACTCTTCATTCATTGCATTAATTCATGTTTCCCTTCTCCATTTAAGACAGAGAGCAACAACGACTTGCACGATTAAAAGAAAAGCTCAGCTTAACATAAACTAGAAGCGTTTATTAAACTTCACTTTGCCTAACTTTCACAGAGCTGAAGGAAGCCGTAGGCAAAGCAGTGGGGGATTTATATTTTGCCAGCCTGCTGGGAACTGCATTTAAGAAGAGGGCTGCAGTTCAAGGTTTGAGAGAAAATGTTTATCCCAAACAACGCTCAAGCCACGCTGGCAATTGTTCCAGCTGCTCCAACAGGAGACAGCAAGTCAGGCCCAGGCCTCTGCTCAGCACCAGCTCGCCCCCTTGGTCACAGATGCTGCCCACGCGCCGCTCCCTCAGCTCCCATTCTTACCTTCCAGCATCGTCTTTATGGTCACCGACTGTTTTGCGATTTCAACATCGACTTCAAAAATCTCTCCATCTGAACTCTGCAGCTTAATTGAAGGCATCTATAGGAGAAGGACAGTTATTTTCACACAATATTCATCAGATTTCACAAGTTCAGCTGATTCAAATACGTAGTTCCCTTCACTATTTGTACTGCCTCTGAACAGCCCCGTGTCACCTGCGGCACACTTCAATTATTTGCTGCTTGAATCAACAGTCCTAAGGTCACTAATCCTGATGCTTAAGAAGGATTGATACAAATACACCAACCGATCATTTAAAATGGAAGGAACCTGGATTTTTTTCCTTAAGTTGAAAGCGAAATAGAATAGACAAAAGCTCTATTTACTGATCGATCGATTTGTCTTTACATACAGCACTGCACTACAGCTATCTTTCTCTTGAAACAGCCCCTCAACAATTCCAAAACGCTGCTTGTCTTCAAACTCAACCACTGCTCATTTTAACCATTCACTGAAGGCAAAACCCAAAAGCAGTTTCTAAATGATGGCGCCTGGACCAGAACAACAAAACAGAAGTCAGAAGGAACCTCCAGATGTGCTCCAGTCCGACTCCCCCGACCCCAAACGGAGCCAAACAAACCAGACTATCCAGGATCAAACGCTTCCTTCAGAAAGTGCTCTGCATTCTGAAGAGCCTGAGAAAGCAATCCAGCCCTAAGTGGAACACTATCAGCACTTACCACTGCTCTCACAGAGTAGGAAGTTACATCAGCACTTCGTTATATTAGGAAAAGGTAGGATGACTCAGTATTTTCACCAAGTTTCTCAGATGCTGATAAGGCCTGCAGTGCAAGCAGCAGACTTGGAAAATTTCACTAATAAATATCATTTACAAAACAACACCTTCTCATACACATAGCTCAGAGCCAGGAGTCATGAAATGATACAGCAGCTACCAGGTTAGAGCTTCCGTCTGAAGCTGTGCTTGAGCTCTGCAGAGATACTAAAATGAAGGGACCTGAAAGACACAACAAACCTGACTGCAAAAACCTGTTAATCAGTGCTTAAACTCGTGGGATGTACTCCTTTACCATTCAAACATTTGTTTGCAGCAGACCAGAGCAACACTATTTTTCCTCAATACAACAGCTTGAAAATACCTACAGCACATAACTGTAAGTGCAGCCTGCAAGTTGTTTTAGAGGAAAACCCCAGAGACGATGAATTTCAAATTCATTTAATTTCAAATTCACTTCAATCCCTTTCCAGACATTCTTCCCCAGCCAAGTTTACCACCTAAGCATGCTGACTCCCTGCACTCGTACCTGAAATACCCAAACTGGATCACCTGCACCACCTGAAGCAGAAATACGTTATCCTTTTTCAAACGCCTCCTATAGCTCATCAGTATGGCTGAGCCTGACAGCACTGCAACAAACCGAGGCCAATGAAGGCCAGCCAGAGTACACGATTAAGCAGCTCACAGCAGCCCCAAGTCCTCACTGCTTTAATTTCCATTTGGCAGAGCGAGTAGCTAGTTAATGTTCACACAGCAGTGTAATCCTATATGACAGTGCTGCTCCTAATTAGGACTGGAGTTCTGGAAGGACACAGCCATGGCCACTCTCAAGATACACAAGTATATGTGAGCACCCACAAAAATCAAGTGAGGGTTAAAGCACAACCCCACGCCGTAGCTTGGACACGCTCTGAAAGAGGGGGAAGGGAAAGAACATCAAGGCACGCGTGTTGCGTGCCGGGCTGGAAGCACTCAGCACAAGCCCAGCTCCACGCAGCAGCTCCCAGCCCCCTGCCCGTGCCTGGCGTTACGTAACGCTGCTCAGCGCAGCCGGGATGCAGAACACCGCCTGCCTCGGGGCCGCTGCACCGCCCGCACTGCTTCCACCACGGCCTGCCCTGCTCGGGAGGAGCCTTCATCCGCCGAAGCCAAAGCAGCTCAGCTGTTATCAGCGATAAAGCGGCGCGTCGCGTACACAAATGTCGCCGTTTGTTACGTTTTAGTCCCTTCTGGTGTAATAGAGCTCCGCAGGCTCAGGGAGCGGCACCGCTGTGACCGAACGGACCCGAAACCCCCCGGATCACCGGCCGGGGTGGAGGAGGGGCCGCTCGGCGCCCAGTCCCGCCCACAGCAACGCCGCGCGGAGCCACCGTGCCCGCAGCGCCGCCAGGTGAGCGGGAAGGAGCGCCGGGAGGAGCCCCGCCTTGTTTACAGCGCGGCGCTTCCCTGGCCGCCCTTCTCACTCCCCCCGCAGCACCGCGAACTCCCGGCCCGGCCCTCTCCCCCTTCAGCCGCCCCGCATTCTCGCCGCCGCCCTCCGCCCGCCCCCAGCCGGCCCCGCAGCCCCGCGGCCCGGTCCCACGGCTCAGCCCGCCCGGGGCCGCCTCAGACGCCGTTTCCCGCTCGGCCTCGACGCCTCCCGTCCGCGGAGGCCTCACCGTGAGGCGCGGGCGACGCCCAGCAGCTGCTGACGGCTCCCGATAGTGGCGGAGCTCGGAGCTCGACTGCGGCGGCGGCTTTGTGGGGGGGAGGGGCGCGGGGGGAGGGGCGGAGGACCCCGCCTCTCGCTGCCTCGCAGCCGGGCTGCCCGCCGAGAGCGCCTGATCGAAGCACTCCGCTTCTAGCTCCCAAGCCGCGCCGAGAGCGAGCGTAGTATGAAAAGCTCCGTATACCACACACCGAGAAAGGGAAGGAGGGAAACGGAGCGGCGGCGCGGCAGGGAGATCCGCGGAAGCCGTCGGTTTTAGTCAGGCAGTTGCGGGGTCATACGGCACGCCTCACAGTGGGCGGGGAGCGGCGCGCGGGAACAACGGCTGCGGCGCCCCCACGCGGCGGGGCGGCGCTGAGCGCCTGCGTCTGCCGGGCCGCGTTGGGCTGCGGCGGTCAGAGCGTGGTGAGGACGCCGTGTGCGTGATTGTAGGCGGTTATTTGTCCGCCGGCAGCCGGTTGCTTCGCTCGGAATCCTGTTCGTGGTTTTAGCAAAGCAGCGCGGCTCCACGCGCCGATAAGCGACCTGCCGAGCACAGCTGGGGCTTCCCCTCTCCTCAGGTGTTTCTTAGTTCTGCTCCCAGCGACAGCCGCTGAGACAACGGGCCTCGAGGCGTTCAGCAGGCAGCAGGCTGGGCAGGGAGAGGGAAGGCTGAGGGATTGCTGGCTGCAGGCAGCGTGCCGCCAGCCAAAAAGCGCAGGTGAGCGTGAAGCCATCAGTGTTGGTCACGTCCTGAAATGAGGCTCTCTAAAAACTCCAGAGCGCCGGTGGAGGTGGACGCCTGTCTTAAGAACCGCATTGCTCGGCGTCGGGGCGCTCAGCAGCTCATTCGGGACTCAGAAACTGATGTAGAGGGGACTTAACCCTGCTCAAATTATCGTCAGTTGAGCCTTCCAGTCTGTGCGTGGGACACACAGCTGTGCAGCCCTTCACAGCAGGTGAGTGCTCAGCTGGAGGTGGCAGGTGCTGCTTACACACAGCACATCACCATTAACGTGGGCCTCAGGCGTCCTGCTGGTAGTAACCAGGTAAGCTGTTGTCTGAAATTCGTTAGGACCTAATTATCCTGTGTATATAATACGGATTTATATATACAGGGGCTTTACACACACATACGTACCCCAAATATGCCTCAGCACATTTACCTCCTTCCTCTAAAATCCCTTCATCTCATGGCTTCATTGTGAAAAAAAAAAAAAAAGACTTTTGCTGCATTAAAATAAACAGTACCTTTATTTTCTTTAAATGTGCTTTTTAAATTATTTAATGCTCCTTGTTTAGAGGATCAGATGGTGACAGAAAGCAGCCTACAGAAAATGTCTGCAAGTCCTAAGCACTTTTTCCTGACGCTGCCCAAGATCAAGGTTTCTAGTCAGTAAGCACAAGTTCTCTCAGCCTGCAAATCAAAGTCAGTGGAAGGGTTTGCTCTCCGCACAAGGCAAATTAATAAAATCTAGAAACAGGCAGACAGCAAAATTCCATGTCTAAACAGGATCTGTGCTTGGTTTATAATTCAAAGGGATTAAGCATTACACTTGATAGGAGTCACTGAAGGTGCCAAAGAGAAAACTGAGTTTGCAGTGGACTTTGAATTTATCTGTTGAATTAGAAGGTCTGAGAAAGCTAAAGCAACAAAAACACCCAACTAAGAAGTGGCAGACAACTGTCACAGATAGGCTGTAATCTCATGAAGGCCACCTCCCCGTGCCCTACATATCGTGTAGGGAATCTCTCAAAGCTAGTCTGAATGCTTTTTGCTGTCTTTGTCATGGTCAAAGTCCTGCAAGTCAGTGTTAGCACCACAGGAGACTCATCCTTCACTAAAGCTGCGAAGCAAAGAACAAGATTTAAATAAATAAATAAATACCAATCTCAATTACATGCACAGGTAATCATTCCAATGCAAATAATCCTAAGCCTCAGCATCACCATCCTGAGTTGAAAAGGCAATTGTACTAGGTATCAGTCACAGATAAATTACAATTAAGGACCTTTTACTACTGAGAATTCTGAAGAAGGGGGAAGATTAACACTATAGCAAATATGTGAAATGATTGGAGCAACCAAGATCAGCATAAGCTTAATTTAACACTTATCAGATCCAGAAGAGATCTGACCTACATTCTTGCAGCATCACTGGGCTGTGGGCAGAAGCCAGCTGAGCAGCTGCGCAGCCGTAGGGGGAAGGGAGATCTGACACTGAACATGGCGTTAGCAACAGAGCAGCCTCCTGGACACAGCACTGGATTAGTCCAGAACCTTGGACTGTTTGCAGCTATTCCTCTTGGCTGTTTAGCTAGAAACAAACATATTCTCTTATCTATGTCCCCTTCCCTCCCCAAAAAAACCTAACTACTTCACACTGCACTTTTATAGACAGAAATGCTCTTTGTTAGCAGTGATTGCGATTTAGAGATTATGGAGATAACCTGATGTAAAAAGATGAGTACTTTCTTAATACAAGTGTTACATGGGATTATCAAAGCCTAGAGAGAACCAGGCTTGAAAGACCTCAGCTCTGCTCCACCAATCACAGGACTCAGTCTGCATTTACTGACCACAGGGAAGGTGAGCCTGCAAGGACTGAACCTCAGGAGACCACAGCTGCTGTGGCAGAGCCTGGTGTCACTGCTGGGAAGCAAGGTGTGACCGCTGAGCCTGGACAAGAAGCTGGTGTGTATGCACAGGCTGTCAGATTCACAGGAGTCTGTTTTATTCTTCAAGGAATGCAGAAGGTAGGGAACATTTTTGAGAGCAAGCAAGCACTTTTTTTTTTGTCTGATACAGATGCTGGAAAAATACTGCTGAGCTCCTTCTGCTTGTGCCAGTGTTATTTAAAGCAACGTTGCAACAACGCAGCAGAAAAGAAAGAAAATCCTTGTCTCCACTAAATTCCAGAAAAATTGTGTCTCCACTTCATCAAAACCTGTGAAACAGAAACATCCTCAGACGTTGCTTTCTGTGCAAGTTGTGCCCCAGGAAAGCAGGGCAGTGAGTAGGCACTGGGGGAAGCAGAGCCTGCAGTTGAGATGATGTAACAGCAGTAGGCGGATGAAACTCAACCAAATTGTCTCAGGCAATATCAACTGATTTTTAAATTTATCAGCTCCTGTTTCTCCCTCAAATGACATTTATGTGCTCTCCTTGCCTAACTGTGAGGATTTGAGACAGCACAAAAGATTAAAGATGAGGGGAAAGTTATTCAAAAGAAAGGCAAACATACCTCAAGCATATTTGCTGCCTTTCCTAACCTCATCTGCAATCTAGCTCCATGCACATACTGGGGTTTGTACCATTTTTGCCCTAGTGTCCACAGAAATAACTTGGACCACTCAAATCCTGCAGTCCCTGTTTCTACATAGGGAGGGAGATGCTGCTGGATGGCAGCTCCCCCACTTCCAGCACGGTTAGCAGAAGGATTCCTAATTCCACATGGCACACAAGTTGGGCCATGCTGCACTTGCTGGTTTGTAAGGAATGTGTGGCTGCCAGAGCAAGAACAGAACAGGAGTGACTTACTGTAACTGGCCTTCAGAACAGCTTCCAGCAGCTATTTCGAATTTCTGAAGACCTCTGAGCAGTGACAGTGATATTTCAGTAGACTGATTTGGCTTCACAGGGTTTTTCTTTACCGTGTGGGTGATGAAGCATGGACATGGGTACCCAGACAGGTGCTGGGGTCTCCATGGAGACCTCCAAACACAAGGACACAGTGCCAGGCAGCGGCTCTGGTGGAGCAGCAGGTGCCAGAGGTATCCAGAGGTGCCCTCAGCCCTAGTTCTGTGGCTGCACGGTGCTGTTGCACAGCCTTGCAGCTGTTCAAAGTCCAAAAGGCAGATTCTGGGCTGGTACTGATGCCATGGATGATACAAAGCAGAGGCTTTAAGGTTTCAAAGTCCATGGGAATAAATGTAGTACATTTCACAAGTCAGGCTAATTGGAAACATTTTAAAAAGAGAACGTGGTGGAAAAGTGACAGTGCAGCAAAGTGCTGAGGTGGCTGAGCGAACCTCAAGAACACAGAATTGTCTGTTTGGAAAGAAGCTGGAGCAGCCACTCAGAGCCAACACAGCTCACCCAGGGCAGGGCAGTGCCAGGCAGCATCCCGCTTCCCTGAGGACAAAGGCGGTGGCAGAGCGTGAGCAAAGCCGACTGTAAAGTGGGTCAGGCACAGAGTGAGCAGCAGAGGCTCCTTCCCAGCAGCCCTATTCCACAGCCTCCCTGTTTCCACAGAACGTACGCTGACAGCTACAATAAGGATGGGTTTTGACAGTCTTACATTTAACCAGCATGGTGGTGGTGGTGTCAAACCACCTGAGAAGGACAGGCAGCAGGAAAACAGGCTGAAGTCTTTCCATCAAACATGATGGAAACTGGTTTAAAAAGTAGAGTCTTATTTGACAATTCAGCATGTCGTATTTAAATGTATAATCCCATCTTAGACTGCTCCTGTTTTGTTTTGTTTCTTAAGAGAACAGTTGCACTTAGGGGTGATCTGATGAGAAATACAGATACAGAAGTCAGTAAGAGGGCCAACTTACAAATGTTTAGTTCCATTTATACCATCTTACAGAATGCTGCATTTATTTGCAGTGTTGATGGTTCTCATCAACAGCACCCAGCCCACAGCTTCCACCAGAGATGCTCAGCTCAGGTTGTGCTCCTCCTCTTCCACCACCCAGTGAAGGTGGCACAATGCAGGCATTGGAAAATCAGCAGAAATGAGCTGATGCCAATTTGAGACACTGCATACACCTACATCTGTCTTTAGTTCGTGTTGCAAACCAAGACCAAGGCCCTGACATCTTCACAGCAGTTTGACGATGAGGTAATGGGATAAACTACTGTGGATCTCATGTGCTGCAGCTAAGCAAGATGCTCTTTGAACACAAGAACGCAGGCTGGAATGCACCTCAGTCTGAAGCAGCACCAACAGCAGCTCACGTGTTTTTCTGGTCCAGTCCTGTAACCTTCCAAGAAGAGATGCTCTGGAGCCTCTCTAGTTCATCTTTTCCAGTACCACAGTACCCTCCTTCTCTAAAAGTGATGCTTTTATGTTTTCTGTATGTCAGCAATATATATGTAAGCATTTAAATACTATTAGCAATCTGTGCTTTATGTACTAGAAGCTATCAGTTTCATTTTCATCTATAAGCAGTTGCTTACTGTACAGTAATTGAGATCAGGCTCAACTCAGCTTAAGGACTAATGCTTTTAAGCTACAGCACGGGTTTTAAAAGGCTAAAACATGTTGCACTGCTTAATTTAAAACCTGAAGTGTTGTCTCAGCCTTTCTTTTCCTGGATATATGCCCAAGAACTTGAGTCCCTTGCTCAAGAGAACACTTTGTCTTCGTTCTCATCCAGAAGGAGCACAGCCAAATGAATGAGAGCACCAAAACTTCAAAAAACCACAGTGAGCTGACTCAGCTGCTTACTCTGCAGGGCTTTCTTAGTGTGCTCACGTGCCCTGTATGAAGTCCAATGTAATTTTTACTTAATGCTTAACCTGTTTCCAAACTACCCTGCCTGGAACATGCAGAGAACTGATACAGAGCAGGCATCCCTGTACAACCACAGCTAAGCAGGCTGTACATCTGGGCAAGACACTGCAACAACCTAGAGAGAACAGCAATGCAGAAGTTGTACAGACCAGAAATAAATGAAACAAATCCTACGTTACCACAAATTCTCAGCATACAGGTAAAGCAAGAAGCAATTAAAAAGCCTATGGCTGGTGTACAAGGAGGTAAGTGGGGCCACACCTTCAGTTAACCGAAGGTAGCGTCGCTCCATTTGAAATGCAGAGTGGTCATTTGATAACACTTGCCTCTTCCAGACCAGCCTATTTTTCCAGAACAAGCAGGTGCACCTTCAGCCCTGTCCTGTTCATCATCACAGCTTCTCCTACTGCAGGAACTTGTGGTGTTACTAGTAAGGAAACAAAGGGGTAAGAAGGGAGGAGCACAGGGATGTATTTATTAAACTATGAAGATAAAATAAACTGGGCACTTCCATACCTTATTTTTGTGTCGTCCATGAAAAAATGGACAGCTGGCCTTTAGAAATTCAGACTGAATTTTCAAATCGCCAGAGGAAAGACTTTGCCCCAGGCCCTCACCATACAGCCCTTATCAACGTGACTTTCAGCAAGTGTGAAAAAAATTCCAGGCTGACCTTTGATCCTAACCAGGGTGGTGTGGGCAGATGAAACGTCAAAGCTTTCATCAGCAGTGTGTACAGCTCCTCTTCTCCAAGGCAGGAGTACCATCCAAGCAGACAGAAAAGATACCCAGTTCTTTCCATCTTCACAGTGTGCATCAAGAAACCTTACAGGTATCGTCAGATCTAAAGCAGCAGAGCAGTGATATTGAGCTTGTGTGCAAAAACGTGGGCAACTGGAAACTACCCGGCTTCAGCCTGAGCCTAGCAGCACAAGCATCCATTCACCTTGGAGAAAACAGCACCCACACACAGGAGCCCACATCAGCCACGGCAGCAGGGCTGTGGGATGCAGGGGCAGGCAGAGAAAGGCTACGAGAATGAAGGAAAGAAAACCTGCAAATCTGTTTGTTCCAAACGCTTCCATCTTCTCCTTTCAGAAAGGAAATTACCAGAGGCTTTCCTGGGTTCTGCTGTATGCACCAATACTTCGATTCTGGCTTAATGATTCCTTAGTTCAAAGAACAGGCCTCTACAAAGGAGAGGCATTTACTTCAATCTGATACACAAATTCAAGTAAAAGCATGACTGAATGATGAAGATACAGGACTTTGAGCTACTCCTGCATCACCTTTCCAAGGAACCTACCAGCCTCTGCAGAGCAGAAAGAAAGGTCAGTACTGGTGTGTGAAACAAACCGAAATCCTAATTACATGCCAGCAGCATCACAGTTTGAAGTGAAGCTTGGGTGAACGTCTAGTCAGCCAGCTGCTGAAAAATTGGACAGTCATTATTTCTACTTGAAGTTTTCTCTTGAATCTCACCTTCTAGCTGGCTGGCAAACAGCAATACTAATCCCAGAGCAGTAATTCTTGTTCACAATGGGCTATTCTTAAAAACAAAAGCCTACGAATGGCCAGTCACAGCATAATTATGGGGAAAAGTGCAAAACCTGGAGTGCCTGTCAACATACCGACTTTACTAACAACTGCCTGTATGTGCATGCAGAAACAGAACAAATGAACTGCTTCCCACTGCAGCAGTGCCAAAGGCGTGGAATGGTGTCAGTGAAGGCAGGAGTTCTATCTGCCAAAGCCCAAATACAGAGAATGGCAAGCAAGAGGAAAGGAGACTTAATGAACTCTCTCTAAAGCAAAGGAACTTTTTTTTGTTAGTGATCAAAGCAAAAGCTCCCACCATGCTATAAAGAAAACAATAACAGAAGGAACTCCTCCACGTGAGCTTCTCCCTGTAAGGGGTCGAGATTCAGAAGGACTGAGCTTTCCAGCCAAGTTTGAAGGCAGGATTTTTGCTAAAGAAAGAAGTAACCTCTCCAGCCTTTCAGAAAAGGTGTGAATGAATGAATTTGAAAGGAAGCACCTTGCAAGCTTGACAGTTAAGCAGCCCTTCAAGAGAAAACCTCAGAAAAGCAAGGGAGTCCAAAACTGTGTGAAAGCAGGCCTGCACATCTACAACACTTGTATGTTTTCTCTCACAAGCCAGCAGTATTAAAAAACCCCTCTGTTTGGTCACACAATCTTTATACTGAGCCCAAAACCCAGAGTCTGTTAAACAGTATGAAAGCAAGGGCCTTCCATCAGAACAGCCAGCTGAGTTCTTTTAAGATGTGTCCAATAAGAAGCTGCAAGTGTGAGCCTTCATAATGCAAAACATCTGAATGTGTTCTGAACAAAATCATCATCAGATTCAGATTAGTAGAAAGGAAAGTTTTTAAACAGAAGTTAACACAGATCACACTTATTTTTGTAATGGAAGCTTGGGCAATACACATAGTACTGAATTTCAAGTTATTCCTTTAATATTTAGAAAACTGGTTTTATTCTCAGTCTTTCAGATTTCTTTCTGAAGTATTAGCACCTACAATGGAAATAACTCAAACTTGGATTTACACTTGAAAAAAAGCCATGCTTGATCAGTTAATTTATCCTGCATTTTTCTACTTTTGAATATTTCATAGAGCACCAAGAGGGAAAAAAAGAGAGCAACATTTCAGTAATAAGTGAGCTCTGTTCTCAGCTACATGAGATCACAGGACCAGACATCTCCCTGCAACAGAATTCAGGTCACAGTTTTCCAGCACACTTCAATCACCTCATTTTTATCATTATTTACGGTAGAAACTTCTATCCAGGTTTATAAAACCTATCCAGCCGTGCATTAGTTTATTAAACCAGAGCTGACCTGAGATGCAATTAGAATTTGACATTTTTCCATACTTAGTTCACAAGTTTATTATGAAAAACACTGCAGCTCTGTCCTGCAGTAACATTGTTTTACAGAAAAAAACAGTTCTGTTCAAAGTAATTCACTATGCTCAGACATTACAAGGGACAAATATGGTTGGGCAAAGAGTGGAAAAGGGAACTGAGTGCAGACAAAAAAAAAAAAATCAATACAATTAAATTAAACAGTATTCCCTGAAAATAAAACAAACAAACAGTTTCAGAACAAATATGAAGCCTTGGTACTTATTTTAAAAATGTTCTTTAAGCTTCAATGATTGTTTGCTGCTATCCTTATCTACAGTCATGCCGAATAAAGCTATAGCTAAATGGAAAGTTAAATGTATTCACGAGGTGTTAATGTCTACATCTTATTATTTGCAGTCTCTCAGAGAAAGCAAAAGTAACTACAAATAGCGCTATGCCAGAAACTGGTTTCTCGACCAACAATGTTGCTTCAGCATGCAATGGACTGGTTCATTCTAAAGTGGTCACAGTTGTTGACGACAAGAGGCTCTGTATTTGAATATGGCACGTCTTTTGGTCCATGTGAAAACAAGTTTGAATGTTACATATTTTCTGACACTTTGGAGTTACTGTTGCTCTTCCCGTTTTCTTTAGGTCAACATATGGTTCATGGCAATACTGTACAGCTCTGTACTCTTTACAGGAAGTAGTCCGGGGTGCGACGAGTCACGTGCGGCTCACCTCTGCGCGGCGCTGGGTCGAACTGCAAACTGAAAAGCATCTGCATTAATGCCAGCATTCCAGTCACACGCAGGTATTTCTTCCAATTGCTTTAAACTCATCTTTGCATTACTTTATGCACTTGAAAGAAACAGCTCTTGGCTTTAGGGCTCAAACCGGTCAGATACCAGGTACGCAGCTGGACATTAAAAGTCTCCTGTAATTACTGAAATGTACACAGCGCTTTGTGAATTCCTCATTTATTGCTACAACTGCTGTAACAGCTTTGTAAGGTCAGTGTCCTAACCAGATTCAAAGTCTCTTCCCCTAGACTCACAGGTGGGCATAACTACCTCCCACCTGACAGTATTCTGACTTTCCAATTACTTACCTCTGTAGTATTTCATTACACTCTCACTTCATTGTATCTAATGAGCTTAATGACATGTCTAGATGCCAACAGCCGTTCCCAATATGGAACTGCAACGCTTTTAGATATCAGCAGCTCAACAATTCCACCCTCACCTCACCTCCTGCATGTGCACAGGGTAAAACCATACCTCAAAACCATAAGTAGTTAATGTAGCAAAATACCACTCAAATCTCAAAATCATGTGCAACATGGATCTCATTTTTAAGCATACTTACAAGGAGTATTTTAAAGTATCATCAAGTTCCATAATTGCAGCCTGGTTGCCACAACGGTAGCAATAGTTTGGAGCACTGAAAATTGTGACTACGTTCCGATCATGGCACCAGTTGTACCCCTGCAGAGGAAAATCAACTGTTTAGGAAAACCATGTTCATTTGTTGCACCCCATAACTGACTATGAAACTGAATTTCAATGTGCAAAACCCTACATAGGCTTTGCAGTTTTAAACAACATTAAGGCTGTTTATTTCTCTTCTCAACTGAAAAGGGAAAAAAGGAATTGCACCATAGCATGTAACACCTTCCTAATAAGCAGTAGATGAGCACACTGAAAAACAGCAGGAATTCTCCACTACGTTGTTAAAAATTGAAATACCAACTCTGAATTAGACCATCTTTTAAAGCTAGGTGTGGGTTCTGCTTTTGATGACTAGAGGTTAACTTCTAGGGACAAACAGAGACTAAGAAGAAACCACACACATCCCTCTACCTTGTAAAGAGGCCAAGTCTGCATCTCAGGCACCACAACTCCACTACCAACAGCTTAAACACAGCCTTGGCTGCTTACCTCCATTACCAACTGATGAGCTCTTGAAACCAATGTAAGGCCATTAGCATGGTTAAAGGTTTCTGAAATATCCTGTCCAAATGTATAACCTGCACCTCGAGGAGAAATTCCCCAGCCACCACGATCATCTGGATCTGACCATAGCAAGTCACACATTGGACCCTGTAAGAGATTTGGAAAGTATTTCATGAACTGAACCAAAAAAAGAAAAAAAAAGCAAGAACAAAAGCCACAACGTCCACTCTCATGAACCTGCACAGCTTACTGCAGCATCTCTTTAAGGCTTGGAAAGAAAATGTAAGCAAAACCCCACCTATCAGCTACAATAGTTAGTGTAGTTAAAGCTTAAAATACTCACAAGAAAATTAATTTTAATGGAAAAAAATTTCACAGAAGCAGTTCTCACCTCTGAGATATTAAAATCTGCTTTGTAACATCAGGCAAGAATGTGTCCCTTAATTTTCCTGCAGAAGACTAGTAGGCAAGACAGGTATTTTCAAATTGCTACATCGTTTTGAACCTGATTTTCTGCCTTTGTATATATTAAAATGCCCAGCATATGCTGAATCATGAATTGCACTGTGAGTTAAGATAATTAATCTTCAATATACCTCATGGGGAACTTCCTGCAAGCGATCCAGTGCTCTGATGTGATCCAGCGTATCTATTGATGGAGAGAGGCCACCATGTAGACAGAAAATCTGAAACAGACATTATGAAATCTCAGTTGTTTATTATAACTGTTTAGTATAAACAATTAAGAAAAATTTCCAGGAGGTTATTTCCAAGCTGCAAGCTCACTGAATGCAGTGTTAATAGCTCCCTTCACAACCAGCAACATTTAACTGTCCAAGTTCAACCTACCTGGCCATCCACCAAGGCAGTTAGAGGAAGGTAATCAAAAAGGTCTGTAAAGTACTTCCAAACATTTGCATTCCCATATTTTCTTAAACATTCGTCATAGAAACCATATACTTGTGTGATCTGCCTGCTTTCATGGTTCCCTCGAAGAATTGTGATACGTTCACGGTAACGGACCTGAACACAATAGTGGAAGACATGTTAGGGGCACGACAACATGCACTGCCCAAAACCACCATTTGCTTCTCTTCCCCTCCCCATAATGTGCCAAGCAAGCAATAAGAACAACTTGAATTACAACCTTAAAGGAAAAAAAAACAAAAAAACAGCTAAATGACACCAGTCTTCAGTTGCCTTGAGATGAAGTACAGGTTTTATCCTCTGTTAGCAGTGGAATTCACTACCCTTGTGCACTAAGCTGTTATCTCACATCTTTAAAGACTGCTGCTTCCACATTTAAAGATAGAAATAAATGCACAGCTCCCTTTAGACAAAGTTATCCAGGCTTTTCAGAAATACTAAATCTTTACAGGTTTGTAAAAAATATTTTTGACAACACAGCCAACATTTCCGTTTTTGTACCTATAAACCCTTGCAGTAAATTCATACTGATATCAAATGCAGTCAGGTTAGTTCCTATACATTTTATACTGGATGGTACAGAGGAAAAATTACCTTAAGAGCTACAAGCAACGTGACTGTTTCAACTGAGTAATAGCCTCTGTCAACATAGTCCCCCATAAACAAATAATTTGTGTCTGGTGATTTGCCTCCAATTCTGAAGAGTTCCATGAGGTCGTGAAACTGCCCGTGCACATCTCCACACACTGTGACAGGACATCGCACTTCTTGTACGTTGGATTCTTTTGTCAGAATTTCTTTAGCCTAAAAACAAACACAGAGAAGTCGTAAGATTGCCTGTGAGCAGTTTTTACTCACCGCATGCTCCACTATCTGCAACGTTACGACATTACCTGCCCTTCTTATGAGCTCTCGTCCTTCTCTGAAGCACATGGAATAGGAGCTTACCTACTTGCAAAACTCAGCTTCATGCAAAGACTTTTTAAAACTTTTGGGTGTTTTTCTTTTGTTGTTTTTTAAGAATTGGGCTTTCTCCCCCACACAGCATCCAATGGGTATTTCAGAATTAGTTTCCAGTTTAGAAAAAACTGATATGTACTATAAAGCAGCTCCAAGAAAGGTAGCACAACTGCCTTCAGATCAGTGACCATCATCTCTGGGACTGTAAAGTTTGCAGTAAGCCTACAGTCATGCAAGTAGCTTATTCCCAGCCCTTCCAAAGCCTGAACTCAGACACAGCTGAATCCAGGATGTGAACATGGCAGTGTTAACCAGCCCCAGCCCCAGCAGGGTCCCACACCTCAGATGTCTTGCTTCAGAAGCTGGATGACAGTTTGCTACGTGTGCATCTCTTTGTATACAGCAGAAGATCCTACCTGAAGCAAATGCAAGAACTCAACCAACATTCACAGTTCTCACCAACCACACAGTAACTGTGTGTGTGCTGTAAGTACACACAAATGTGCCCTTTATAAGCTGAAGAAAGAAGCGGATTTTTGCTCTCTTCATTTTCTTCCCCAAAGTTTTGCACACACAAGTTGCTGACAAGGGTAATTCCTACAAACAGCAAAACTAATTATAGCATCAAAAAGGTAATACTGCCAGAATTCCTCAATCTGATCATCATGATGCCAGTTGCTGGTGACTGCTCTGACAACAACCTATAAATACACACAATTATTTTCTAAATCAAGGGAGTATTGGAGGCATTAGAAATATAAATAGCTGCAAGTTTACAAGTTGCCATCTATTAAGATTTACGCCTTTCAAGCACCAGTGTTCCTATTCAAAAAGGATACATTTAACCTCATTATATTACCAAGAAGAGAATATGAAAACTGCATTCTGCTCCACCATGCATGATGCCCACAGAACTCACTGTAACAGCACTAAATACCACCTACACACAGCCACACTGAATCCCAGATACCCTGAAACACACAGCAGCATGAGAGACGGGCGGAAGAGCAACACCACATTCATTTTAGGGTCATTTCTCTCACTGCTTTCTCAAACCTAACCCGGCAACTCAAACCTAAGCTGATATCTAAAGCTGCATACTTGTTTCGGAGACTTTCTGCTAAGCAGAGAAGTATTTTGAGACATTGTAGAAAGAAAAAAAGTCACCACCATTTGAAAAGCAGATTTGGAAAGTTAGGAATGAAATATCTGAAATTAAAATCTAAACAAGAGGTTAAATACCTGGTCCAACAAGAACCAGGCTCGTTAAGGAACATGCTGCTCCGTCCACATTCCCACTTAGCTGTGAAGCTATCAGCTGGGCAGTGATGGACATCCCCAGCCGTGGTCCCTCTGCTCCTGGTTGTTATCCAAGCTGCCCAGCCCAGCAACCATTTCAAACACCAATGGCCAGCAACACACACTTTAATGACGGAGATGCAAAGATTCCATTCAACACTAGGAAGAAATGCAAAATGCAGTCATGGTTCAGCACCCTGCCCAAAACTGCTTGAGATACTGAAAACCATGAGTAACAAAGTTAAATTACTCTGCAGACCTACTGACAACAGAAGTCAAGTCACACGAGTTTCCACTCACACTGTGCCTCGTGCCAAAGATGGTTGCTGGTGGCTCGTGGTGGATGCTAAAAACATCAATTTATTTTAAGATAGTCTGACTTAAGTTCATTTTAATGCAGTGACACTCACCGGGTGTTCTGGAGGTGTTCTAACAGCCCGAGCCTCCTCTAATACACCACTACAGTCAAAGCATTACCCATCCCAGTTCTCCTTTTGACAGAGAAAGTTACAGAGACTTATAGCACTTCAATACAAAAAAGCATTCTTTAATTAGAACACTTTCTACTGCCATAATGCCATTTCGTAATGCACTGGAAGCATCACACAAGGAATGCTGCATTCATTTTTCATCAAAGGGATGCAACTTTTATGCTGACTGAGATGAAAATGGCATCATTCTCTGTGGAGCTGTCGCTTCCTCAGTTTTTGAAACATTAAATCACTCAGATATGCAGATGACCGAGCACACAGGTAAGTCAGACAGCCACACTGATAGAAAAAGACGGTTCCAGGTCAACTTGCAAAACAGCAATC